CAGCCCCACCTCCCTCACAGGGTGTCTGTTGTGGGGAAGGAAAGGGAAAGGAAGAAAACAGTCTACAGCCGGGTGGGGCAGAATGCTGATGAGCGACAGGGGTCCCCAACTTTTTTGAGCATCAGAGGTGCAGCCACAAAATGGCTGCTTCAGGATGCAGTGGCAGCTGCTGCCAAAGCAACATTTAAAAAAAAAATCTGCACAGCCAATCAAATCTCCAGGGGTCAATCAGAGGCCCTGCCGGGCAAAAGAAGAAAGAAAAGATTGGGTTTATACCCCGCCCTTCACTCGGAGTCCCAGAGCAGCCAACAAACTCCTTTCCCTTCCCCTCCCCACAACAGGCACCCTGTGAGGTAGGTGGGGCTGAGAGAGCTGCTTTTGGGAGAACTGCTCTCAGAGAACTTGTGACTGACCAAGGTCACCCAGCAGCTACATGTGGAGGAGTGGGGGAATCAAACCCAGTTCTCCCAGATTAGAGTCCACCACTCTTAACTACTACATAGAACTGGATCGGGATATGCTGTGCTTGCTGTAACATCCAAAAGCCCCCACCTGGCCCCACCCACTTTATAGAGAACTCTTGGTGGGCGCCAGAAAAGGTTTCAGTGGGCACCATGATACACAGAAGAACTGCACTAAGGACCCCTGGACTACAGGCTGGGTCACAGGGGACTACTGAACAATCATACATCAGAGTGTGTTCACTGCCCAAGCACGAAGGAGGTTATTTGTCATCTTCTGGGCGTGGAACAGTGAAGAAGAAGAAAAAGAAGGAGGAGGAAAGATTGGATTTATACCCCGCCCTTCACTACCCAAAGGAGTCTCAGAGTGGCTGACAAACTCCTTTCCCTTCCCCTCCCCACAACAGACACCCTGTGAGGTAGGCGGGTCTGAGAGGGCTCTCAGAGAAGAAGGAGAAGGAGAAGAAGAAGAGGAGGAGGAGGAGGAGGGGATTGGATTTATACCCCGCCCTTCACTACCCAAAGGTGTCTCAGAGCGGCTTACAAACTCCTTTCCCTTCCCCTCCCCACAACAGGCCCCCTGTGAGGTAGGTGGGACTGAGAGAGCTCTCAGAGAAGAAGAAGAAGAG